ATATATATATATATATATATATATATTATATTTATAGGCTTAGTTGGAAAAAGATAGGGAGTGGGAGAGGAAATGGAGACAGACAAAGAAGAGAAAGGCCAAAAACAAACACAAATGTAACTGAAAAGATGCAAAATTAGAAGAGATGGAGAGTAAAACAGTTGGGAAAAGGTTGTTAACGTAAAGTCCGTTTCACACTCTCTTTCTCACACTTTGCCAACGCACTTCACGATATGAAATCAACAACAAAGAACATACATCAACAATTCCCCCTCCATCCAATGCTTGGTTGCACGATATAAGCATGTTCTTCACCCCCCTTTGCTCCTTGTCCTTGGACTAAACTTGATTACCAATCACACCCACTTGCCTTTCTCTCTTTGTATCACCAAATCCCCTAATTAATACTGTGATCCACCTCTACAAGTGTTGCTAACATTTCATCTATAATTTACTTATTAGGATTGCACTTTTTGGTAAGTAAATATGAAAATTTATTGGTCTTAAGACACTGTATCTTAATATAAGATATTGTTTTATCATTTCATGAATCTTAATATAAGAACAATCACAGACCTTTTTCTTTTTTCCTAACTTAACATATGATTTCTTGGTAATAAGCTATGAGTTTGGTAAGTTATAGAGTGAGGCGCGTGAAGGAAGGAGGAGCAGAATGAGTCTCACACACGTCTCTTACAAGAAAAGATGGTGCAAAGATACAAATGTGTGGTATATGCATAGAGAGATGGGATGGAACGCGTAGGGGGATGAGGTGAGAAAGCAAAGCAAAGATAGCCCATTACTTTGCCTCAACGATTCTCTCTATAATGAGATGATTGGACTGCAAGCCTGGAACCCACGGAATCCGCGGTGCTATCCCTCCCCTCCCTCCCACCTTTGCTTCCTTTCTTTACTTCGTTTCTTTTCTTTTTCTTGTCATGCTTATTGCTTGCATGACTTCCTCCTATGTTACATGGAATTCTTTTTTATCATTATTGTTAAATATTGAACAAATAAGATAACTTGACTACGAGTAATAGTTTTATTTGAATGAGATAAAAATCCGCACTTCTTTAATTTAATTTTTTTCTATTTAAAAACATGTTATACGTATTAATGGGATAATAATACATCAATTTGAATTTGATTCAAAATTTTTACATACTAGATATTATTATGCAGTTACTGCTATTAGTTCAAGAAATAACTGATTGTAAGGATAAAATCTAGCTCTTCTGGTGTTGATATTATGCCACTTATGAGACTTGAGTGAAAGAAAAGATCCCAAGTAATTGTTTAAAGTGAAGGTTTTAACTCTCTTTTTTACTTCTAACTTACGTAAAACTTCAATAAATTTTAGCATATAATGCCAGCAGGAAAATCTTAGATATTAAAAATCCGGATGGGTAAGTATCTTTGTGAGGGTTACATGATCCATTATTATGCACACAATTCGTTTCTAATCAATCAGTTCATGTGCTGTTGACCCACTTATTTATCTAATCACATTAAATAAATCTGTCATTTCTTTGGATATTTATTGTATTTATTTATTGCTTTTCCATTTTGTAATGACTGTAAAACCTGTTTAGCTTTTAATTTGGTCATTAAAATACAAGGCTGCTTGATTATCATATGAAGCGGCCAATTATTTTGTGTGCGAAGCCAATCATTAGGGTTCATTTAAGTGGATAAAACTTGGAATAATTGCCTGTTGTGAGGGTGCTGCCCAATGAGTTGAGTGCATAAGCTTACAACCACAAGCCAATAAAAAAAATCCAACTTTTGATAACTTTTGACACAAGCTATCTTGCTTCTTGTCGTTCTATTTCATTCATTTTTAAGAGAATTTTTAACAGTTAAAACTGAAATCTTTAGTTTGAATATTGAGATGAAAAGGGTAAGATATATGAGGTGTGGAATTTACTAACCAAAGACCCAATAACAACTAATTGCTATATATACCCAAAAAAACTTTTTAATATACTTTTTATTTTCTAATATGGTTATATAGTATTCATAGATTTTGTGTTATGATAAAATCGACAGGGTATTTAAGCATTTATGACATCTTCAATTTGTGAGGTATTTTTTGTGAAATAAAATTAATGAGTTAAAATGGATAATATTTATAAGTTGGTGTAAACTGTAATACTATACCTATACTTAATCCCTCTCTAGATGATCTTATGCTTGCAGTCTCCTACATCAATTTAGTACATTCGTGATTTATTTTCAGAGTGCTCCTACGAGAATTGGACCTTGATTGATGAGGAAAGAGATTTCTCTCCTTTCGAACCAAACTAATCTATGAGGTTAACTCTTTATATACTTGACTCAATTTGAGTTGCCTTAATTTAACTCAATCACTTGATCAATCTAAAGATCTCTTAAATCAATATTATATGTATAGAGGTGAAGAATATACCTGGCTGCTAATTGAACTACCCATGTGAAGCATAAAGCAACTAATTAATTAATAACAAGAGGAAAAGAACAAAAAATGTAGATTCTGTATGAATAAATTGTGAAGATATATGCAGATCTCCAAGATCATTAATAAGGTGAAATGAAGTGAAGAATTGAGGTGCTTAGTGGCGGATCACAACTTGCAAGAGCTTTTCTTGCATTAATATCATAATTTACTTGGAGGTAAAGTGAATCGTGTTCTTAATTAGGGGCTGTTATTTTTTTTTATTAGAAAAAGAAGATTTGAATTTAACTCTTTAAATAAAAAGATATGTACATTTATTATTGATTCATATACTCAAGTGATAATTATTATCGATTTGAAGCAAAAAAACAATAAAATTATGCATTGTTATGCATTGTAGATAAGAAATAAAGGATATAGTATCAACTCTCTACATAGCATCATTTTACATGGTAAAATTATTTGTGAATATTTTATTAATATTTATTCAATTATTATATTAATTTATTAATTTCTATAAATATAATTTCATAATATATGTGACAATTCTCTAACTTCATTTGTGAAATTTAAAAATTTAATCATTTATAAAATATAAACACAGAAATATTTTTTATCCATGTGATCAAGTTCAAGGTGGCAATGAGCCAAAACAAAGTCTACTGTCCCTACAAACTAAGCCATCGTCTACTAATGTATAGAAATGGTGAGACAAATTCCAAGCAAAGATAAAGGGAAAACATGCTATAATTAAGTCAACACGATTATCTAATCCCATCTATTGCTAAATTAATAATATATAGCTAGCATTCTTAAAGTCAGCTTCAAATTGCAAAGGGGAAAAACAGATCTATAAACAATATTGGAGTATAACATATTTGAAAGAAAACAAAATAATGAAGATTCATTAAGTATGAAATCAAATAATATGTGGCAAATTAAAGAGTAATAATTTGCTTGTCACGAGATTTAGTATCAATTTTTTATCCTTCACGACGTCGTAAAAATATATTAAGATAAATTTAAAAATAGGATTTACCAATTCATAATTAAATCAGTCAAATAAATATTTAAAATTAAACCGATAAATTATTTTCACACAAGTTTTTGGATAAATTGTTGGGACTAATCATGGAATGTTGCAAGCATATAATCGGTAATTAAAACCTTAATTTGGTAATTAGTTTAAGGATATGGGATATCAAGAAAAGGGATGATGGGTGGATTAAGGAGGGCAAGTTCTTGGGGGTGAAGAGTGTCATTATTGAAGGATTATGTGTGGCACGTAAGGTGGAGATTAACTAAACCCAAATCAAAGAATAGGAGATTCGGAAGCAAAGGATATATCCCATATTATGTATCATGGCCTCCTCTCCTATATTCCTAAACCTTCTAGCCCACCTTTTTTTTCATATGTGTTCACATATCTCAGGTTTATAGCCTTCTTACGTCCATCTTTAGCGCCAAATTACTTTAATTTTTTTAATACTCTATGCATAAAAAGTGTGAGAGAAGAGGAAGAGCTAGCTGGCTTGGAAGAGAGTGCTTGGTAGCAATTCTAAGCAAGTTTGTGGGTGAAATACATGCAACCGAGAACCGACCTTTTCAATATTTTATTCACTAAGTCATCCCATGATGAAGAAAGAGAGACAGAGCAAGGGATGAGGTTCAGTAGCTTCTGAGCCACTCAATGCAACTAGGGATGCCAACGGAGCTGGGCGGTGTCAGGGAAAATGCCTCATCCGCCT